CCCCAAAACCCCAAAACCCCGAAATGCTTATAATAAATTTGAATTTGAAATCAATAAATAAAAAATAGAAGTCAACTTATTGGAGAATTTTTTAGACAGCAAAATATATATTACAAATGAGACCTAGCAGTTTGCGTCGAGACAGATAAAAGCAATATAACTATATGACTTAAGATGAGTACGAGTAAGAATTAAGAAAGTAAGTAGAGGAGAAGAAGCGCTCTTAATAGCAGGAGAAAATGTAGAATTAGCAGGAGATATTGAATCATTATAAAAACTATCAACTGGGAGGTGATGATTAAAGTGGAGAAGACCCAAGATATATGAGAGACCTTGATTAATTAGTGCAAAACCGTGAGAGAGATCTGTAAAGAATGGGAGGTCTTGGAGGAAACATAGGTGGTGCTCATAATGAAGTGTTTCAAGGTGATATGAATGCTATAGTTAGAGGAAATTAGCCTGCTAATATATTAGGAGGTGGATAAGGATTGAGTTTAGGAATAGGAGGTGCTCCAGGAGGCATTGGATTAGAAAAGAAACCATTCGATTTGTTTAGTGATAACTTCGTTTAGAACTATGGATAGTAAAATAAGAATAATGAGAATATGAACATTATCAACAGTATATTCGGTAATGCAGGAGCAGCTCCTTAATCTTCCCACTAGCATCAAGCTGAAAGCGAAAGAGAAAGAAGATTGAAGCTCAGAGAAATGGAAAGAATGAAACGGTAAGAGGGTTTCAGTGGCGGTGACTACGGTTAAGTAACTGATGTGCCTCCTATTTCACAGCAGACTAATTAGCCTTAGAGTTATCTCTAGAACAATATATTTGGAGAGTAAAAACCAACATCCTCGAATTAAAGCAAACGAGACCAAATCTGGCAATAAAAATTGCAGCAAAGACTGGGATCATAAGAAGGGTAGAGAGTGCCTAATCATCAACCAGGTCCTATCTTGCAATAGCAGAACGTTTCATAAATGCTGCCCATCTTTTAAAACTAAGGTCAACCCCCTATTCATAGTTAAGCAGATAACATGTAAATGATGTAAAACTAATTTGCTTCTCCAGACGCTAACATGAGGTCATCAAGAGTGCTGGTTAACTTGAAAGATGCCAGGAAACTAGATTAATCTCTAAATGTTGAAAGCTCTAAAGATTAGAAAGCAGGTGGAAATATGAATAATCCACTTTTAGGAGGAGATGATGATTTAATCAAGAAAAGAAGGGAAAATGAAAAGAAGCAAAGGCAGTAGGAGTATTAGGATTTCCTGTAAAAATAAAATAAAGGCAAACCAAATCAACCCATCGTTTAGCATAACTAAAATCCAAATGATGTTTACCAATAGTAAAATGTGACAATAACTACTGCACCTACAAGCGCTCATTCAAACCACAGACCATCTCACAGATCTGGCAGTGATGCAAGTGACAACTAAAGTAATGTGCTCCTAAAAGGAGGTCTTTAGCAATTAGGCATGAATCAATAAATAGCAATGGATGATAAGCTCAGAAAATAGAGAGAGTACAAGTAGATGCTTGATCTTTAGAATCAGCAAAAGTAAAATTCATAGATGCCCCCTGCAGCATATGACAGAAAGAAAGAATTGAGTGATTAGATATTTGCAGAAGTGATGAGTTCAAGTAAGTAAAACTTCTACTAGCCAATAGGAGTGAACCCAATGGGCAATTAAATACCCTAAATGAACTAGTTGAACCGCGGGTAGAGTGCAATTACCTAAAATATTCAGCCAAAGCAAGATCTCGAGTCTAATAACTCAGCAGGAGGTATTATGAAATACCAATCTTCAGAGGAAGACTAGAAGCGACTAGCTATGGAGAAAAAGAAAGAATATGCCATGCAGTTGCAGCAACAAATGGCTTTAAAGCAACAACAGCAACCGCAAGACAACAAAAGAAGAAGAGGCACAAGCCAAGTGGTGCATCAACAGTAGTTAGTGCATGATCATGGGTTTTAACCTCCTAATCAATACTAGCAAATGCAGAAACCAGTGTTTGAATACTAATAGCCACCAATGATGCAGCAATAGTAAATGATTGCCCCAATGCAAATGGGAGGAATGCCTGATCCTTTCATGCAAATGCCTCCAATGTCTCAGAATTTATATGGAGCCTAAGACAATTTTGGAGGAGGCTATCAACCTTCCTATATGCAATAAAATTAACTGAGTCCTACAGGCCTAGGACCTTCTATTGGTTTTATGAATCAACCATTAGGAATGGGAATGGACTAGCCTTAGTTCAATTAGTATTAGCCTTAGCAGCAGATATAATAGTAATATCAACCTCAAACATAACTAGATCCAAAAGATATGGCAAGATAAAAGCAAGAAGATTATAGGCGAGAGTTAGAGATGTAAATTAGACTTAAAGAAGAACAGAAAAAATAGTAACAAATAAGTCAATAATTGTACGACCAAAAGTAGGACAAAGACTTTGCATAGTTACTCTAAAACCCATAAAATTAACCATAAAGAAACGTTTCCAACCCAGCTATGAATGATTATGCTTAGCTTTAAAATAATCCTAGTTAAATGATGATGTAAGGAGGAGGCGGAGCAGGTGCTCCTCCCCAAAACTAGAATTTTTCAAGATAAAGAACTGACGTTAGCAAGATAAATAATAGTGACCAAGATCAAATGAAAGCATTGAAATAGCAGTAATATTAGGAAGAGTTGTAGAGATAAATGGAAGAGAAGAAGAGACAAAAAGAGGAAGAGAAAAGAAAGATCAAAATGGAAGAAGATGAACTTGAAAGAAAAATGCTTATCGAAAGAGAGATATTAAATCAGAGACAACACGAGGAATTAGTGAAAGATGGCAAGAGAGATCCAAATGCCCCTTACATGCCAGAAAAGAAGAAGTAAGTGAGAAGAGATCAATTTGAACCTAGTTAAGATAACCCTAATGCTCCTCAGAGATAAGGATTCTAGCAGCCATCAACTGAAATAAGATAAACTGAGATAGCACCAAAAGAATCCTTATTCGGAAACGATAAGCCTAGTTCATAGGCTTTTGGGGGATTCCCTAGCTAAATCTAACCATCCTTAGACCTGCCCATGAACAATAGAAGAGAAGATCTGTTTGGAGATAGAGGCAGAATTGGTGGCTAATCTCTTGATAATCATAGTCAGTTTGAGTTACCTCCACCCTCCTATGAGCCAAGAAGTAACTTTGGAGGGTTTTAATCTTAAAATCCGTATGGTGGTTTGCAAGATAGATTCTAACCTCCTTCACAATCTCCATATCAGAATAACAACTATGGACAGCCTCCTTCAATGATGTAGAATCAGCAGTAAATGCCACAAGCTAGTGTTGTTGATGAACAGTCGAAACTGATACATATGTATCAATCTGCTTTAGAGTAGATATTGCAAATTAAAAATCAGTTTTATGACTAAGCTTTGCAAATGAATGATAAACTTATAAAGGAAAGAGAGTAATTGATTGAGTATGAGAAGCTGAAACAGTAACAAAATCAGGAAATTTAATCGCTGCAAGCAGTTTATTCATAACTAGGTTAGATGATGAATCAAAGGCCTATTAGCAGTAATAGTAACATATCAAATTAATTCCCTCAGCAGAATCCAATTTTAAATCCAATGGTTCAAAACAATCTTAATAATTTAATTAGTCAATAAAAAGCTGACATTTTAAGAATGAGCTAAAGCGGAGGTTTCAATATTAATCAAATAACAAAATTATAGTAATAACATCATTTACCTTTGCACATGAACTAGTAGTAGTATCCATAAAGTGTCTACACTCTTCCAATAGTTGAAGAGTAACCTAATATCCTAGAATAGTCTTTATCATCAGATACTAAATTTGTCAATATTCCTCAGAACAAACTAGCCTAAATTGCTTAATAAAATACTTAAGGCTAGTTGTTTCAAACTTGGAAGCAAGAATAATTTTCGCAAATGACACCTTAACAGTAGTAGCAGTTTATAAATCAACAACAACAATAGCAACCAACAATGAATCAAAGTATGATGAAGTCGCTAGCAGGAACATCTCAGCTGGTAAGTTAATTCTAGTCTACTACTCCTCAAAAACTTAGTGCTTCAAAGCCTAATATGCTAGGCTTACATTCTAGACCTTAGACTTCTGCCAATCTTCCAGAGACAATCGTTGAATTACCAAAAGAAGAAGATGTTTAAGTCAATTAATCCAAATAGGGACTTAGCATAAAAGATCCTAATGGCAAATAGATGATAAAGAGAACTTCCTAGGAGGAGCATGACTTCAATAGTAGAGAATCATCCAAGAAGAACTCACCTGAGAGGTAGATGCTTTCAAAGGTAGAAAGCAAAGCTTCTGACAAAAATATGGCTACTCTTTAACAGCAAATGATTACTAATACTAATCCCTTGGGTAATACTACAACAATTCAAGAAAACATGCTACAGATTGAAACTATGCTGAATGGCAACGGCAACCCTCAAGCACTTAAAACAGGTGGGAATAGTTTGTTAAATCAAATGTAGCAGCATCAGCAATTTGCTTAAGCCTAGCATCACAATAACATCATTTCACCCAATAATAAAACATAAGAGAAATTCCATAATCAAACTGGCTCCTCTTTTTATAATCAGACTCTATAGCATTAGAAGCAGCAAGAATAATCATAGATGGAAGAACTGTAAAAGCAACTGATGCGAATCTTTGGCAATACAAATAATAGTGAATAGAATCAAGGCATTTTAGAGTAAATGCAACAAAAACCTGCTACACCTCTAGTAAGATAGTAACAGTAACAGCAGTAAAATCAATCAAATGCTTAGTAATAACAAATTTCCTATGAAGATCAAGAACTTAATGAACAACAGCAAATGTAACTCAGATAATACTAATAGTAATAGTATTAAATGCAGTAGTAATAATAGTATCAGCAAATGATGATGCAATAATAGCAGTAGTAACACTAACAGTATCCACTGAACTCTTCAAATAATCAGTTTATGAATCCTCTTCAAAGAGCTAGTTATAATGAAAAGCTGAATACCCAAACAATGAGTCCAGGTGAGAAGGATTTACTTAGGGCTAGCAATATAAATATTGCTGATTCAGTTACAGGCACTCAAAATATGCAGGAAATAGTCAACAAAGCTAATTAAAAGTTTTCAAGCAATGGTTTCTATGCCAATCAACTTTAATGTAATAATTTTCATGTTTTAATTATTTATCTTTAGTTGATAATCATAATAAAGATGAGATTAAGACTCATGTGGAAGATGATATAAACAGAGATGAGAGTGATGACGAGGAAGTCAAAGAGATTGCTATGAATGATAAACCACTCATCCAGGACTCTATGAAGTATTAATAAAGCCGCTAGAATTTGAACAGAGTGGAAGAGTCAACTCAGTAAGATGTTTGGAACGACCCAGACCTGATTCCTCCTCCAGTTGTTATGATTAATAACGATGATGATGATTATTACTACGAACCCCATATCAACTAAAGTGCTTTAGGCTAGTATAACTAGTACACAAGCAGTATGATTCAAGATGGTACTCTAAAGAATTTGCAGATGTTCAGTCCACCTAGCGATGAAAACAATTACAATCTAGGGCAGTATGAAAGCTAGCATCTGGGTGAAACACAAAATGAACACGACAATGAGGATAATCAGCACTATGGCTCCTAGTTCACAATGACTCAGAACAATATGAATGAGATTACCAATTAGGCTAACCAGTTTAACTTTGGACTAGGTGGCTAAGGTGGAAATTAGTACTAGTAATAACAATAGCAGCAAGTCATGCACCCAGTATTTATGGAGACTAATGATTTCCAAAGGAATTAGCAGTAGAATCAGCCTTAGTTTGAACAGTCACAAAATGAAAGGCAAATAAACGAAATGGTTAGCGAAAAGTCTGTGACTAAAAAGGAAAGGGAGATTAGAAACATGATGGAAGTTGCTAAGTTGATTCAAAAGGCTACAGACACCACAAATACTCTGTTTGAGAATTCTGAGAACTTCAAATTCAAAATCAAAAGAGAGTAGATCAAATAAGGAGGTGAGCCAGCTTAGAATAAACCTAAATTGCTATAACAGCAAAACTCAAGAAAGAATATCAAGACGAATGATCCATTCAAGCATGCTGAAGCTAAGCTTCAAAATACTACTTTAAACACACAGACTCAGCAGCCTCCTAGATCTTAACAATCTTAAAGATCGAGAGTTGACGATAATTAATCCAATATAAATCTTGCTGATTCGCATAGAGATGAAGAAGCAGACTAAATTTAAGACGAGAGATAGGCATTTAAGGTCTTTGAGCAAGATAAAGATGATGATATCTTATCTAATTTGGATAAAATGATATTCAACCTTTAGGCTTAATAATAGAAATGCTAGAACCTAGTAGTTTACCCAACTGTCAATCCTTCCTTTGGCGTCTAGGACTAAGCTTTGCTATAAGAAGGGCAGTAATTCCAAGTTTAATAAGATGATCTCGAGGGATAAAATGAATAGCATTACCCAGAAGATTAGAACTAATAATAGCAATAATAACCAAGAAGCAGACCTTTTTCAAGTTTCAATAGACCTCCAAGCAACAACTTGAATAAAAGCAGATCTAAGTCGAACAAGAAAAATAGACCTATAAGTGCTGTTGATGATCAACAAAACCCCCAGAAATTGGGTAAATATGCTTAAATGGCTCTTCAAAATTAGGATTAAGTTTCGTAGGGTTCTAAGAAATCTCTCGGCAGATTCGCTCAAATGGCTATCTAAAACGGAATTAATAATCCATAGATAATCTAAGAGGTTCAGCAAAGATACATTGGAGATGAAGAAATGTAATAACAGCAGTATGCTTTTAACCAATAAATGCAATAGTAAAATATGCTTAACTATTAGAACGTCTAGTAAAGTATCCTTAGACCTGTCAGCGGAAAATCTAACTCAACGAGATATTAATAGAATTTCAAGCCAAGTTCACAGGGTTAGAGAAATAAATCAGGAAGTAGAGGTAATTAACAAATGTTTTATGATGAGGAAAGCGATGACTATACAGCATAGATTGCCTACTCTAATTAATTAGCAAGTAATGAACATCAATAGCAATAACAATATGACTATGATGATCAAGATGATAGTGGTTTTAACATAGCATACGTAAGAAATGAGAGAGAAGCAGAAATGGAGTGATAAAAGTATATAAAAATTAATGATCAATTTAATATTTACACTTTATTTTTAAATAAAACTTTTCAGTTTTTATATAGATTTTTTAATACAGGGGTTTTGGGGTTTTGGGGTTTTGGGG